GTGACACCCACTGTGACACCCAGCGCCAGCAGGTGAGTCCCAGCGAGGAGCAGCCAGAGGGGACTTGGGGACCAATGGGGAGAAAGGGGTAGTGAAAACTTGGGGAGCAGGTGGGAAGGACAAAGGGGACTTGGGGACTCGCTGGGAAGGGCCCTGGCCATGTCCTGGGCAGAGCCCCCTGCTCCCTGCACCATTCACCCCTCGCCGCAGGCTGAGCACGCCCCGCACCCTCACCCCCTGGCTCTGGGGCCACAGCCCCTTCCCCGCTCGGTCTCTCCGCAGCCATGAAGGTGCAGGTGTGCATTGCTCTTGTCCTCACCATCGTGGCCACCACCTGCCTGTGCCGGCCCGCGCCGGAGGCACCGGGCACCGCCGGAGAGCCCCGCTGGCCACCCCCCAGCCTGGTCCGGAGGGACTGGCACACATCCCTGTCCCAGGAGCAGAAGCACCTCATCTCCCAGTTCCTGCCCCACATCTTCACAGGTACCGGGAGGTGCAGGGTGGGCAGCCCCAGGGAGGCCTCCTGGCCCAGGGCACCTCTGACCTCCTGTCCTTGCCTTGGCAGAGCTCGGCGACCACAAGGGCTATGTGCATGGGGACGAGGGGATGGAGGCCCTGCACGACCACTTCTACCCAGACTGGATGGACTTCGGTCGCCGCAGCGCCGAGGACGCGGGAGATGCCGCATAGGCGCTGCGCTATGCAGAGCACCAGCATGCTCGGTGCATGCCTGCTTGCAATAAAGCTTTGGCACTATGGGCACTGCTGCTCACATCTGTGCTGGGGTGACTTGGGGGGGGTATCAGGTGGGTGAGATTCACTCCTCAGCCCCACCAAGATGCATGGGGCAGGGACACAAGTGTGAGTGATGGCTGACACAGTACATGGGAGCTGCTTCGTGACTCTACATTTATTGGACAAGGGACAGGGATGGGCTGAGGTGAGGGATGCAGCCGCTGGGAGCAACAGCTACACCCCAAGCAACTCCCCAAGTCGGGGTTGCTGATGCTACTGCTACTGGGTGGGCAGGGAAGTTTACAACCAGTGTTCCCTGTAAAAACCAGCCCAGGCAAGGCGGAGGGCCACCTTGTGGTGAAGGGCCCCCCACCCTAACACAGGGTGGCCCCGAGCCCAGGCTCAGCATCACCCATGGCTGCAGCCTTGATGGCCCCAAAGGGCTGCGCTGCCCCTCCTTCCATGGCCGGGCTCAGCAGACGCAGGAACAGTTTTTATTGCCAGCAAACGGCTCCAGGGAAGGGTCCATACGCCCACAGGAGGGGAGGGGGCTGAGCAGGGACTCCTGTGGCTGGGTTGGGTCCCAACCCCCAGGGCCAAGCCCCCCACAATGGTGCTGAGGTCCGCGGCAGCACCATGAGCTGGGGCTCACAGCCCATCCTGACTCCGTTTCTCCATGGACGGGCGATGAAGAGGACGGAGGACGTGTCTCGCCCTGAGCTCCGCGGCGCTGTCACGTCAGCGCTCCCCTGCACTGTCTCTGGCCGTGAGACATCTCTGCCCGTGCCACCACCTTGTCCAGCCCCAGGCGCCGCAGCTTCTCCACCAGGTTCAGGCTGAAGACGCTGCTCCGGGGGGGGGGGCTGTCCTGTGGGGAAGGGCCGGATGTCCACGTGCGGGAGGTGCTGGGAGGGGAGCGGAGGGGCCCACCACGACCCAGGCCCTGGCACAGAGGCAGAGATGCCCTGCAGCAGCAGGAGCCTGACGAGTCCCGTGGGGGTGCTGGCAGGGCCAGGGCCCAGCATAGTGCAAGATGTCTCCGGTGAGGGGGTACTGAGGCTCAGCCCCTCAAAGGGCCCACAAGAAGGCACAACGGCGTGATACAGACTGTGGGGAGAGGAAAGGAGAGGAGAAAGGGGTCAGGGGGCCTGGCCTGGGGATGCTGCTGCAGAGCAGGGCCCCCTTTCCACCCTCCTATGTGCTTGTTCCCCTACCAAGCCTCAGGAGCAGCACCCCATGACCGCAGCAGTGCCCAAGCCCCCTGAAGCTCACAGCCCAGTGCTGGGGGGCTGCAGCTGTGTCCCCCCAGCACTCAGGCAGGCAGGAGAGGATGGGACATGGTCACTGCTTCATGGGTGTTTCCCAAACATGCAGGGTTTTGTCTGACAAAGTGTACAGTGAACTCGGATCACACCAACCCCCACGAGCCTTGGCAGGACTCATTAGGGCCAAGCACAAGCGCTCTATAATTAAGGCACAAATGCAGAGCAGCCCAAAGCCAGGGGTGCTCCCAGGGCAGTCCCTTCTTCCCATGAAAGGTAGTGCAGTGTGGAGGGGGGGTCTGGCCCCAGCCTCCCCCATGGGAGTGCATGGCCTGAGGCACAGGGCCACCACTCAAACAGTTGGATTTGGGGACAGTTCCAGTGCCAGGTATCCCTGGGAGCATGAGGGGCCATGGGTGGCCCCCAGCCCACTGCTTCCTCAAGCTGCACAGAGCCAAGGGTGGGGTGAGGTGACAGGATGGAGGGACACGGGGCTGGGGGGGCAGAGCAGGCGGTGGGGGACCACGCGCCTTACCTGGGTGTCACCGTGGTGGTGGCGGTGGTGGGGTGGAGGATGTGGCAGGTGGTGAAGGTGAAGGTAGACAGGGTCTGGGGGAGGTTGTTAACAGAGAGGAACACTGGAAGGGACAGGAGATGCTGGGTTAATGGGGAGGGGGAACATAACACAGGCAAGGAACAAGGGTGGAGTCATAAGGAGAGGCAGAGCTGGGCTAGGAACTGCTACCACCAGCAGAAACATGCACCCATGGGGCTCATCTCCAGCAGCATTTGGATCTGCTGCTGGCTCAGAGGAGGGGGCCACGAGCACAATTGGGAACTGCAGCACCCAGACCGGGGCCGCAGGGGGTGCATACAGAGGTGAGGGCAAGGGCTCAGCCCCAAGGAACGGCTGCAGAATGGCCCTGGCGCAGCTGCAGACAGAGCATCCCCATGGGGACGGACGTGTGGCAGGGCCAGGGAGGAGGGGACAGCGTGGGGGGGTGCGAGGGGCAGCCAGGGCAGGACAGGGACATCCCGGGGGCTGCGTCCCCTCCGCCCCCTCGTCCCACGCTCACCCCCAGGGCGCTCCTTGGCTTTGGCAGGCGTGGAGGTGGGGAGCAGCTGGAAGGAGCTGGCGTCCACCTCGTCCTCCTCCAGGTCGGTGAGGCTGTA